TAAAGAAGCTGGTGTTTTATAAGCTGTTAGATGCGGATGACTTGAAAATCAATAAATGTGTTAAATATTGGCAAGGTGTTAACATGAAAAATAAAAAGTATTATCAAGAAATAATACTTTCAATTCAAGAAATTAGTCTAACCCTAAAACACATTTCAATCTATTAACAATAGGAGTAAGCAAATAGTTAGTAGTGTCTGCAATATTTTTAATTACAAGGACTATACAAAATCCTACTCCCTGAACAAACTGATCAAATGGCAGAGATGATAAACACGACACTCTAACCAAATCAAACTCCAGACTACTGTGGTTCCAGTCCCTTGGCTCATGGCACCACACAGTTGCAAAGTGAGCAGGTTCAGCAAACTGATTCAGCTAAAAACTAATCCACAGAGTGAGTCGGAATGAACTCTGCATTTGTCTGATGTTTTCTGTCTTGCCTCATGTCTCTCCATATCCTCCCCCGTCCTATACATGTGTCCTACCAACAAACACCAGTCAACTCCCTCCACTCAATCCAATCCTACGGGCAGTAGGTAATGGGTTTGATTTGGGCCACTTCAGAATTCCCAGCTTTGCTGGAAACCTGCATCTGCCAGTATTGGCTCCACAGACACCTTATGAGATTTTATGTCAAATTCAAGTAAAAAACATCAGTTACCCCACTGATGATCCCCTGAACAGCCCAGCCAGATTCTGCTCACTGCAGTCCTGTGCACATGAAGTGAGCATGTTCCATCTCTAGTCTTCTGCTTGTATAATAAGGAATTATCTCAAGAGATTATTAGTAGCAAAGGAAACATTAAAGGAAGGATCTCTGCACAGCATTTGTAGGAGACTCTCTATATACGACTTGTTCATTTAGTAAAAGGCACTAAAACAAATGGTGTGATTTATGAATAGTGAGTATTTGTATATTGTAAAATAAATTTTGAGCACAAATACTAATGTGCAATAGTTCTAGTATGATCTTAAGATACATCACAACTCCAAGAGTTTGTTCTGCTGTGCTACAAATTAGCACCATTCCTTATCAATGTATCCAGAAGTGTCATCCTATTCCCTTGTTAGATATTTTGGGGGGTAAACAGAATCACTCACTTTTGCTAAAGTCATCTCCAGGGTGCAGCTTTCTGATGAAAGCTGTTTCTGAAAGGTTCATTTCTGTTGCAATTTTTTGGTGCAAAGCTTCATCCAACTCCTAATGATGAAACAACAAATCCAATTAAAAGCAGAACAAAAAATGCAGAATCAAACTTTTTGTCATATACAATAATTTCATTTGATATTATTGTAAAACACAGACTCAGTTTTAGTTCAATATACTGAAAGTAAAAAAAATTTTAACACAGTCTTTCCAGAAACACAAATACCTTTTTTTAAGTTGTAATTAAAGTCACACTGAGAAGTCATTATTAACATCATCTAAAATTAATTAAAACTTTCTTTTTAAAATTCTGAAATATCCCTGCCAGCATGAGCTCTGTAGTGATGGAACGCCCCAGGGGGCTGATCAGCCCTAAGGGCCCTGCTCTCCCTACCACTCCTTAAACAGGAACAATACACTGAAATCGGGGGGGGGGCCTGAGAAGAGAGAAACTGGAAAAAAAATCCCAATACAAAAGCTGGAGCTCACTGAGTGCCCTAAACCAGTGTCAATCTAAACCAGTGAACATTGATCCCAAGATACACGAGCCCCAGAGAGTGCAGAACATTCTCCCTGGCCCTTGGCCCGTTGCTTTCCCCACAGTTCTGCTGACTGCCCAGGATTGAGAATCTGATCCTCAGAATACTGAGACTCCAATGAAACAAAGGTCTAAGCGGACCTGCTCAGGTTCAGCCTCTGAGAGAGAAAGGTTTGGCCTCCTAACTTTGAATATTTCCTTTAATAACTAAGCCTTTTCAGCCAATAACAGTGGAAGACTGATCCAGGTCTATACTATCCCTCTTTCTTTCCACAGAGGAAAAATGAAGAAAAAAAAAGGGAGAAAACCCACACCAAAACCAAAAAACGCAGTTCAATCTTTCAGTCAAAAAATACTGAGTAATGACTCTGTGTTACAGCATTACTTTTCAAAGACTTCATCCTGAATCCTTCTTAATCCTTCAAAATCTTCACTCTGAATCATTCTTAAGAAATTAAGCCATTTCTTTTTGACTTAACTCAGAATACATCCATTTTATTAATTACAAGAATAAAATATTTTTAAAATCCCACACAAAATACAAGGGGTGTCTTGTGTGACATCGTTCTGATGCAAAATGAGCACCCCTGTGCTAATTCCTCGCTATTCTGCAGTACCAGCAAACAACCCTCGCAAGCAGCGCTCCCGAGTGAAGGAAGCGAAGTCCAACGCAGTGCTGAGTCCTCAGGCCAAGGACACAACGGCAAATGTCATTGCAGGACCTCAAGAAACACTTGTTTGGGTTTGTTGGTTTTTTTTTTTCCACTTACATTTTCAAGCAGACAAACTGCCGCAGGATTTCCAGAAAATGGCCGGTTTGTAAAGGCATCAACCGTAAAAACTGGGATTTGCATTGTGGCAGCCTGTTCAGCCGCAGGCTGTGCCCGCCAAGGTACTTTCTAATCTGCTCTACCCCAAACGACAGCAGAGCTCCAAGTTAATGTTTCCCTGAGGGCAGGAGGAGCCAGCGGCCACATCCTGTCCCTTCGGAGCGCCGGTCCGAGCCTCCCTGCACGGCCCTGGTGCTCTGCACTGGTGTTTTAAATTAAAACAGAGTTCAGCCTCCCTCTGGCACCGTTCGCCACCAGCTCCCGAAGGCCCGCACGGGCCCTCCCGGCGGCCGGGTCTGCCCCGCACCTGAGGGAGAGGCAGGAGCTGCCCCGGCTCTAGCGGTGCCGTGGGCTGACCACGACGCCGAGGAGACGCGGGAAGCCCACAAAGGCCAACCTTCCCCATCCTCCC